TCTAGAATCTTCTAGAAGGTTCTTTTCATTCCTAATTCAATTAGCATTAATAAATTGACTTTTGTTGACTTTTCAAAGTTTTAATCAAAATCAAATAGCATTTTCGAGGGAATTATATGATTTTATCCTCCAGTACGGCAAACTTATCTGATTTTCAAAAACGCGTTAAAATCAGGCTTGGCGCCTGACCCCAGGCTTTGTCGCCTGGAACCAGGCCTGGCGCTAGCCATTGGCGCCTGGCGCTAGTGTTGGTGCCTTGCGCCAGTTAGCCAAGGTTTGCGCCAACTTTGTTTTTTGTGCGCCAGACTCTGTTTTGTTTATTTTATCTTTTTGGCTGATTTTCTCTATAAATAGCGTATTAAAAACTCCGTTTTCATTCACCAATTCTCAGGAATTCTCATCAACAATCAGTTTTCATTCGCAATCATTAATTCTCTAATTCTCTCTTAATTCATTCATCTCTTCATCTTTCTCTTTTCTAAACTAGTCTTTTACATACAAAATTCCGTATTCACAAGATCTTGATACACCTAGCCATATTCGAAGTTGCCTTCGCCCTAGACGTGAAAGATTTTAATTTCCGAGGGTTTGGTCCCAAATCTCTCTTTCAATTATTTAATTTAATTGCTTTGTTTATTATTTTCCTTGAAGTTACTAACGTGTGTATTTTGTAATTAGAAAGAGGTACGAGGCATCCAAGTAAGTACTTTATTGATTAATTGATTTTATGATGTAGGCATCATGTTTATATTATTATGATTCTTAGTATCATGTCTAGGGTGTTTTTTTTAATATCAAGTATGATTAAAAATATGATGCTTCCTATGTTCTTTCTAACATTTATGATTATGATTGATGATGATTATTTATTATGTTGCTTGGTATATATTTTATATTGTTATTGCTTGATCACCTTTTATTGCAGGTTAAAGGGAATTGGTTCTTGTAATCACGCTTAATAAGATATTAATAATCTTGTTAGGTTAATTGTGATTTAAATTCAAGTGATCGCCAATAATAGTTTATTTGTGCATTAAATTCAACCAACATAGATTAAACAGGTTTAGGGTTAATCCTATTGATTGTATGTTAGTCAGAAAGCGCACATGAATACGATCAGAATAAAGTAGAGGCCTATTATTAGGGCAGGTTCAATCTCTTTTAGGTTGGATTTGTACCTTCATCCCCGAACCCTATTTTGGTTCTTGACCTTATGGAGGTTACGATCTCTTGGATCGTTAAGGGGTGTAACCTTCACCTCGTGAACGGTTTACAAGTTCCTTAAAAACTTATTGGCGACTCTTTTGCTCTATCTTCTTCCCTTTTGGACGCCACCGTACTTTAGTGTATTATCACAGTGGGGTTCAAGCTAGTGGGATTTTTAAAGGCTTGAAATTATTCCCTACAGTTTTTGGCGACTCCACTTGGGAGGATTTCTATTTTAATTCCTGAATTTGTTTCGGCAATGATTTAGAATGAGTGGATGAGACTCGAAAAGTTCTAAGTATTTCATGTGTTTAATTTTGATTAACATTATTGTCATATGCATAAAAAGGTTCTCATTGGAAAGACCATCCGTAATGAGTCAAAAACATAGGATTTTACACGTAGGAAATTTGAGAAATGTCTTTCACAACTAGGACTGAAATAACACCGCGCATAACTGGATGATTTTATCGAGCACAGAAAGCTGCTGAGGCATGTGGGAAGTACCGTCAGGGGCCAGAGCTTGGCGCCAAACTTTTAGCAGTAGCGCCAGACGCCAGTATTGGCGCCAGGTGCTACAGTTAAAAGTTGGCGACAGTCTCTGTTTGTTGGCGCCAATTTCCCCCAATACCGAGCCAGAAATATGCGTTCTAATTTCGACCGATTTTTCGTATTGTTTGCTCGATCCTACTTCCTGATTAAATTTTTTCTCATTTTTCTGAAACCCATATGTGTTCTACATATGGACATAACCCTCTGGGAATTCATGCTTTATCTACCCGATTGAACGCTCCTGGCAACAAAGGGTACATCTGAGATGTTGAATTCACCAAACCATGGAAGTGAGTTTTTTCTAAAAAAAACTCGCGGTGTTCTATCCACACGCGTTAACCCTTCACGGCTAGGCTTCTACGCGGTGCATCTGAACAATTAACCATGGACCCTATTTGACTAAACCATATCCTGAACTTTAGAGAACTAGCGCCATGGTTAGGTTGCGAACTCATTGCATCATATTGTGCCTACTTGACTAATTGTGCATTATTTGTTGCGCATATATATTCTATGCTCCTCCTAACCGTTTTTTGATTTGTGTTGAAATTATAATTAATGACTTAAAGAACTTTGCCTAATTAATTAATTAATTCGAGTCAATAAAATTTTTATTCTTTTAATCGGAATTTACCTAGTACGACTTTAGGCATACCCAAGTTGACTAATAATATCGAAAACAGTCCCAGACCGAGGCTCCAATGTTGGTGCCAAAATCTGGGTTGTAGCGCCACTGTATGGTGTGTAGCGCCAGACATTTACTAAAAAGTCTGGCGCCAACCACCATATTGTGACGCCAGTCTTGTCGCTTGGCCGACAGTTCGGATTATTTGTCGAGTCATCACCTAATGTCTAATTATTCAGTTTCCTGTTTAATTTGGTTAATTCTGTTTAATTGAATCAATATTCGAGTTTAGGCACTAAGTCCCATGGTCTTACACAAGAGTCCAAGCATGTCACTTACACTCAATACACACACTATTACACATGTCTTGACCATGATTAAGGGAGTCTTGTGTGCGCGCGTTTTTTTTCGTCATTTTTTTAAGGGGGTAAGTCGGATATTAATCCTCCAATAAATAATAGTACTTAAGTTCCCTAAACACATGTACATTATTGCTCCCTAAAAATATGCATATTGCTCCCTAAAAATATGCATACTTTTTTTTCCGTTTTTTAAACAAAAGCCATAAAGTCAAACTGATTCGAGTCAAGTAATTAAAATGCAAACTGGCTTAATTTACAGCACGTGGTCAAGAAAGGAAGGACGATTAATCAAAGATAACCTCTTCGTACAAATCCAACTTTTCGACAAACCTATAGCTCGCAAGAGGAAAGCAAGAGTTATAATGGCAACTCAGGAAGAAGTTAACGATCTCAAAAACCAATTGGCTACTGTAACTGAGACACTAAAGCTTCTCGCACTTAAGATCGAGGATCCCGCGAAGCAACAACAAATGGACCTCATGCAAGAAAGCCTAAGCAAGTTTTCCAGCGACTACAAGTTTCAAGAACTCACATCCCAAGGGGCCTCGGTGGATAAGGATCTTCTTCCGCAGAAGTTCAGTGCCAACGACATCCCAAAGTTTAGGGCAATCGACAACCCCTACTTCCATCTAAGGGCATTTGAAACAATAATGAGTATCAAGGGTATCGATAAGAAAATTTTCCCTTCTCTGTTCTCGCTATCTCTCGAGACCGTTTGCCAACAATGGTTCTTTTCTCTTGAAAAATAAAAGACCTCTACAAGTGCAACGTTCAAGTCGAAACTGACCATAGAGAACTTGAAATTCTCAAGCAGAAGGAGAATGAAGGCTTCACATCTTTCTTTAACAAGTGGAGAGAAACCTCAGCTAAAATGATTGAGGTACCAAGCGAAAAAGAGTCCGTGAGATTATTCATTAAAAATCTCCAAGAAAAATATTCAAAACATCTTAAATATCAAAATAACCTTCATACCTTTAAGGCTGTTTATGATATTGGGATTAATATTGAAGATGACATAGCTAAATCTAAAGCTGCCAACAATAACTCCAACAGTGGTTGGAAAGGAAAGAAGAACGACAATCCTTCTTCTTCCAAAACCGCCCACTCAAATAATGTTAGCGCCTTTAATTTAGGAGAAGTCCTTGCCATGAACAACCAAGGACAAAAGAAACTGTTTAGGAGAAACTTCACTCCTATTGGCATGAGTTATGACAGCGCGTTTGATCGGCTAAATGCAAAAGGTCTTATAACTCCCATTGGACCATTCGGAGATCCACCAGTCGAGAAAAGGTCGCCTAATTGGAACCCCAATGCACATTGCAAGTATCATCAAGGTATCAAGGAGAAGTTTATTGGGTCAATTTATATAAAAGCACAAGTTACAAATCCAAGATCAAAGAATCCCATCTCGCTACCCAACTGACCCGAGCCCGATCGGGCGGCAGTTGGCCTGATCAGGAGAGCTTGTTTACAATGGTGTTCCGCTTCGTAGTGGACTTCATAGTTAGGGCCCACTTGATTTGTTTGTTATGGCGGTGAACTTGTTTATTTAAGGGAGGTAGTAGTTTAAAGGAGCCAGCTTTATTATTTTTCTTTGAGTCTTAGTTAGATTTCCGTAATTAGTTCAATTATAAGGATTTTCATTTTTTTTGACAAAAAATCTATCAAATAAAAGGAACAACAACAAAAAACAACTGTAAAAAAAAAAGAAAAAAAAACTAAAACAGAAAATACAACAACTGACGACGTCGGGCATAACCAGCCAACCAGTGAGCAGGATTGACCCACAAACGACGAACCTTTTGACCCTGGAAAACTAAAAAAGACTGAACCGAAACCCGCAACTCCTGAATGAGCCACCAAGTAGAGATTTCCATTGAACCAGAAGGAGGAAGAAGAGCAAGGAGGGCAGCACAATCTGTATAAATCCGGATTTTCAAAAAACCTTTACGAATCGCAAACTCCAAACCCCATATACAAGCATGAAGCTCAGACTGCAACGCTGAACTAGCCCTAAAAGCCCGACAACCACCTCCTAAGACCTCAGAAGAATCAAGATCACGGACTACCCAGCCTGCACCCGCCCTGTTAGTAGAATAATCCCAGGCCCCGTCTACAATCAAACATGTCGTTGGGGAAATATAAGGTAACCCCTGCAAACACAACCACTTGACATCCTGCTTGGCCTCCAAACTAATCGAACGAGAGGACCTCACAAGCCGCTTCCAATCTAGAGGATGCATATTACGAAGAACCTAAACTGACGCCAAGCCAACAATTGACCCAGGCGACCAAACAGCTTTCCTAAACCTCAAATGATTCCGCGAAATCCAAATCGCCCAAAGGAGAGCAAATAACGAAGCAATATCCTTCCAATTTCTCGAAGACGAAAAGAGAGAAATTGTTCTTGAGAACCAAATACTAAATGGAGGAAACTGCATAAGATCCCATTGGATGTCCAACGCTCCAGACAGCCAAATAGTACAGATAGCAGGACAATCTCTGAATGTATGAGACACAGATTCCACATCCATATGACAAAAGGCACAAACTGGATCAACAGGGAGACCTCGAGAATTGAGAATAGATGCCAAAGGAAGCGCGTCGTATAGCAATTTCCATCCAAATATTTTCCACCTAGGAAGGTTTGGTAAAGCCTAAAACTTCCTCCACCATGATTGAGAGATTTGAGATGGATTACCTAACCTGATCCCAGGCTCACAAAGAAGGGCATACGCAGATTTCGTTGTAAAAACACCATCCCAGGCAAACTTCCAGTAAACAAAATCATCCATTAAACGCACAGGTCGATCCAACAAAAGAATTCTAGAAGCAGAGCTAGAATCAAACAACCCATGAATAATAGTAGCATCCCACACGCAAGAACGCAGATCAAGTAAAGAAGACACAAGAGTCGGACAAACTGACTCGGACGAAAGATCCTTAAAATGAACTGGTCCCCCGGAACCCAAGAATCCTCTAAAATACGAACTCGAGAACCCGAACCAACCTTCCAACACAAACCCTTCGACAGCAAGGACCCCCTGAAATACGACCCCTACAACCCCAGGAGGGACGAGAAGCCGGAAACAAATCAGTAGAACGAAGAACCGGATACTTCGCCGACAGAAGCCGAGAAACCAACAACTGAGGGCACTGAATAATTCTCAAACTCTGCTTCGCCAACAGGGAAGAATTAAAAGGGGAAATACTACGAATTCCCAATCCTCCTAAACTCTTCGGAAGATGGAACAACGACGAAGACCGAAGAGCCAACCCTCGATTAGAAGAAGAAGATTTCCACCAGAACCTGGCTAACAAATTATCCATTCTGGAACATATAGAATCAGGAATTTTGAAAACAGACAGGATGTGATTAAAGGAGGCAATGAGCACTGAGTTGATAATAACAAGCTTAGCTGCCGGCGAAAGCCGGAGAGGTGTAAAGGCCTGTAGACGTTTAACCACCTTGTCCAAGAGAAAACCAAACTTAGAGCATTTACTACGACCTAAATCAACAGAAAGTCCTAAATAAGATCCCAATCTAAATTCAGAGCGCATTTTTAAACAACCAGACAGATAAGCTCGGTAATCCTCAGGAGTATTAGGACTAAACTTGACAAACGACTTTTGAAAATTAAGCATTTGACCTGAAATATCACAAAAATCAGAGAGCACCTGCAACACCTATTCACAAGCCGTAGGAGAAACTTGGAAAAAAAGCAAGGATTCATCGGCAAAGAACAAGTGTGAAATGGTAGGAGCCCCCCTAACAATTTTAATACCCTGAAAAAAGCCTTTTGATTCTGCATTACGCAGCATAGTCGAAAGAACCTCCATGCATAATACAAACAGATATGGAGATAGCAGATCTCCTTGACGTAGACCACGTTAAGGACGAAAACCCTCTGTAGATGACCCATTAACCAACACCTAGTAAGAAACTGTAGATACACACTGCATAATCAGATGAATCCAATAGGGAGAAAACCCAAAAACCTGAAGAACCTGGCACAGAAAGTCCCACTCAACTCTGTCATAGGATTTATTCATGTATAGCTTCAGTGCCGCATAAAAACGTTTTCTAGCTTTGGAAGCATTCATAAATGAAAGAATCTCATGCACCATTAGGCAATTGTCAGACATCAACCTACTAGGAACAAAGGCATTCTGAAAATCCGACACAATGTCGGGTAGTATCCAACGTAGACGGCGAGCAAGACACTTAGCTATGCATTTATACAGAACATTACAGAGGCCTATCGGTCTAAATTGAGAAACAAGTTCAGGATGATCAACTTTAGGAAGCAAAACTAAGAATGTCCGATTCCAGTCCTTAAGTAAATAGCCATGAGCAAAAAAGAACTGGACAGCATTCACCACCTGATCCCCCACCTCACTCCAATAGGTCTTAAAAAAAGCTGAAGTAAAACCATCAGGTCCTGGAGATTTATCATCAGCAATACTAAACATCGCATGCCTAATATCATCAGTTGAAAAGGGAATTAGTAGAGACTGACGATGTCTATCAGACAAAGAAGGGAGGTCAAGGGAATCCCAAGGGAATTGAGAAATAGGAGGTCGATCCAAACTCCTACTGTATAAGGACCTGTAAAAATTAAGAACTAAAGAACGAATATCCCCCGCACCCAAAAGCCAGGTACCTTCATTGTCCTTAAGCCCTAGAATAGTGTTCTTCCGACGCCGGGCCAGAACTGCAAAAAACAGCAACCTAGAATGCCCATCACCAAATGCATCCCACTTCACTTTTGCTCATTGTCTCCAAAAAAGAAAAGCCGCTTCAGCCTCCTTTACTTTTTCCATTCTAAAAGTGCTAAACAAACAACGAATACTCCGTGAATCAAGACTAACAGAAGCATTAGTGAAATCCGCAACCAAAGCTGTCCAATCAATGCCCCACACCTTTTTATGAGAAACACACCAAGCTAGTAGATAACGAAGAACACATAGTCTCTTAGACAAAGAAAACATAAGATACCCAGGAATATGTTCAGCAAAAGTATTTTGAACCATAGCAGCAACCTCCACAGAGTGTAGGCACCAATTTTCAATTCTAAAAGGACGTTTGAATCTACCAGAAGGCAAAGAGTCATATAGAATATTAGCCGCATGATCAGAAAACAAAATGGGCTGGTGATGAACTGAGGTAGCCGACCAATCCTGAAGCCAATGGGAAGTAGAATATGCCTTATCTAATCTCTCAAAAGTGGGGTCCATAACTATTCTCCCGTTAGTCCAGGTGAAAGAACGTCTAGAATACGGAATATCAAGTAACCCATTGTCCAATTTCCACTGTATAAAATCATGACGACCTGGAATATCAAGATTACCTCCGACCTTATCCGATAAATATTCAACCTGGTTAAAATCGCCAACTAACACAACATTCGGATAAGAAGCTAAAATATCAGAAATTTCCGACCACACAATCATACGATCAGAAACTTGAGGCGCCCCATACAGAAATAAGACATGTTTTATAACCAAATTTTCCACAACTCGACACAATATTATATGCGAAGAAACCAAGAGAGGGTCAATCAGAATTGGGGTAAACCACAGCACACAAATCTTACCACTGAGACCCGCTGAATCCACACCTACAAAACCTGAACATGACAAAGAAGATAACTTATGCATTACAGAATCTACAGACACCATAGTTTCAGCCAAAAAAATAATATTGACACCACACGAGCGGACTAAGAACGTGATGTAAGGAAATTTAGGGGATTCCGCCTACCCAAACCCCTATAGTTCCTTGCCATAATCTTCATCTATCACCTTGTGGCCTTGAATGGGCAGCCACCAAGCCCTCAAAAAAAAACTAGAAAGAGACACCTGATGTGGAAAAGAAATTCCAATTCCTTTACGTTTCTTAAACGGGAGCCAAGATAAACTAATAGTAGCATCAATCTCCGAACCTATTTTCTCAGGACAGAACAGAAAATTCATAGCAGACCTCTAAGCCGATCTCTTCCTAAAACAGAATGATATAACCCTTTCTGACAGCGAAGAGCATCGAGCTGGATTTTTCATTGAAACTGACAAAGAACTAAATAGATTTGGCTGTTTAAGCGAGTAGAATATCGTTTTGAACCTCGAGGGTCGAGGTGAGTGAGCTGATTGGGTAGTTGGATTGGTGGATGATAGTTGATAGGACTCTCGACCAAGTTAGTTTTTTTTTTGGAACGTGTAAGGGATGCTTGTGGGTTGAGAGAGTAGGTTGGTTCGGTGTTTGGCGTGATTTATTTGGAGTAAGGTTAATGTGTGTTGTCTCTGATTGTGATCTCCTTTTTTTTTACGGGATAGAAAGATGTAGTAGTAAGCTCACAGGGTCTTTTGAGGGGGTAACTGCTCTGGGGTTGGGGTGGGTCAATGTTTTTGGAAAAGCTCTTGAGATTCACGATGGTCGTTCTGTATTTTTTAATTCGCTTGAGACCCATATTTAAATTTGATAGATTATGGTAAAGTAAACTAGCAGGCTTACACAACCCATTCTTATCAACAACAAAAGGAGTAGAGCTATAGAGATTCAAAGGGCAAGCATTCTTCTTATGTCCAACTCTATTGCAGTTAGAGCACAAAACAAACATATTCTCATATATGAAATTAATCCATTTAAACTCAGATTGTCCAAGGTCCAAGTAAAAGCCTGATAATAAGGGTTCCAAAACACGTATGTGAAGTTTTACTCTAAGTCTCTAACCACGCAATTAATGGATCCTGAAACAGGTTCTTCACAACACATAATTTTTCCAGCCATAGTAAGCACTGGATTAACGACATTAATGTCACATAGGTTCAAAGGTACCTCATCAAGATGAACCCAAATAGTAGCCTCGTCAAAAATCACATCTCTGATTGACTTACCCTGAGTCCAAGGAGTAAAGACCAAGAGAGCCGCTTGGTACGCCGCGGAGCCTTGTTGTAGCATAGCTTCTCGATCACGAACGTCCTCACAAAGAAACAAGAAAACACTATCGAATTTCTAAACTTTAATTTCCCCAAATGTAATCCTGTCGTTGGAAACCCACTTTTGGATTCGAGTCTGGGAAAAACTTCTGTAATCTATGAACTTGCCCAGTACAAGATGATTAAGGAAACAAGGATTACCGCTTGAGGGTGAGCGTTGCCGATTCATATGTGCGAATTTCATGATTGTCATCTTCTACGATACAGGGGAATACAAAAAGGGGAATTTAATGTGATGTGGGATCACCGACAATAACAAGGAATTGAAACATTAAAGTGGTTTTTGTGAACTATAAACTGATCTTAGTGATGTGTCTATTTTATATAGTATTTTACCCCCGTCCCTTGGTCATAATTAGTAGTGTTTTTGGCTCTTTAGAGCCACTTTTATTACTTATTGGTGTTTTCCAGTGTTTTCGTAGATTTGGTTGACTTTTGCAGGGATTTATGCTTTTGGAGTATTTTCCCGAGATATTTTGGAGCAATCACGAGCATTGGAGAAACACGACCAGAGTTTATAGCCCAGGGCTGGTTAGAGACATCGAACCGGTGATTAAGGGCTCAGTATAGGTGATACCGGGGCATTTGGACCGAGTAAGCAATACCCAAAGAGGAAACCCAGATTGGTCCGAAGAATTGGAGCCCAATCGAAGTCCGAATAGTGGCCCAAATGATCCGCCCGGCCAAAAAGGCTGGCGCCCGGAGGCGCGCCCGGCCGGGCGGGAGAAGCGCCCGTGACGCGCCCGGCCGGGCGCGAGATTGCTATTAGAGATAAAAAAAGGCGCGCCCGATTGGGCGATGCCTCGCCCGATCGGGCGCGTGTATATTTAGGAGACGATTAGCGTCGTTTTAATTTGTTTTGGTTTAGGATTTTTGTACGGAGTATAAATACTCCTCCGTAATACAATTTTAGAACTTCTTCTTCTTCTTCTTCTTCTCTTAATCTCTTCTCTTAGACTTTCTCTCACTACTTAGTTTTCTCTCTCTTAATCTCTCTCTAAACTTTTGTTCTTAATTTTTTCATTAATTCCAGATTTATTTTGGTAACGATTTCTCTTCCCTTAATCTTAATTATTTATTTTATTCCTTTGATCATGATTTATTTATTTGTTTTGTTTAGTTTATATCTAATTATGTGTGAGTAGTTTAATTTCTAGGGTTCATGGGGATCTAATAAATAATATGAAGGGGTAAATTATTGTTGTTGATTATCAATGCTAGATTAATTTCCTATTGATTGGATTAATGCTCTGTGACTAGATTAGGCCTATCTTTTATGCATGAGTTTGACAATATTGATTCAAGAATCGAGAGATGAGAATTAATGTTTAGGTCTAGTTTCAATAGGCAAGTTAATTTATAAATGGTTAAGTCAAGAATCGAGAGATGAGATTTAATACCGATAAATTAATTGTGTGATTGTAATAAGTAGCGAGAGCCCTTTACAATCTGGTTAATTGTTGCATTGATGATTGACTATTATTGATTGTTGGTATTGCATGATAATTTCTTATTGGATTGTTTTAATGTTTTACAATTGCGGCTTGTAAAAGTATAGCAATATTAAATTGATGAATCGAGCAGATGTTAATTTGATATTAAAGGCTATTTTCAAAAAGAGCTTAGATCTAGTAAATTGCGAGAGCCTGTTAGATCTATGTTGATTAATAAATTGCGAGAGCCTGTTAATCATGTTACTTATGCAATGTCAATGATTGGTTACCCTATTTTACCCCGGAGTATTATTTATTGGTGAACCTATGCCTTAGATCCTTCATATATTATTTTCTCCCTATTCCTACTCTTCTTAGTTTAGTTTCTTATTCAACTATAAATATTGGTTACTTAAATAATTTAGATTATAATATTAATTAGGAGTAAAAAGACTAGTTTCCCTGTGGAGATCGACCCTACTTCCCTATCTACCTTAGTTAGTGATTTAGGTAATTATTTTTTATTAGGGGATACGACTTTACCCTGTCACTTAGCTTTTGTGATTAGAATTAGAGATTTGTGGAGCCATGGATGAGTGGGAAAAGGTGGAAAACGGTGGAAGAAGATGAGGTTTTGGGGATAAGGCTCTAGTACTCTAGAGAGAGAAGCTCTCTTTTTAGAGAGAGAAGCTCTCTTTTTAGAGAGAGAAAAGGTTATTTTAAGGATTTTCATATTGTTTGTTCGCTTTGAGTCAATTTCGTTTTCATGCAAGAGTATTAGTTGACTTCTTTAGTTTAATTATTTTATTATTTCCGTTAAGTTCTTTTATCTTTATTTTCTTAATCTCATATTTTTGTTTCTTATATGCTTACTTTAATAGTTTTATTTAACTGTTTTATATATTTTCTTATTGATTTTAATTATGCTTTGTTTAATTTATTTGATTAGTTTAATTTTAATTATGCGTGAGTAGTTTCTTTCTAAGATTGTGGGGATCTATGATTAATATGAAGGGGTAATTTATTGTTGTTGATTGTCAATGCTAGATTAATTTCCTATTGATTGATTTAATGCTTTGTGACTAGATTAGCGTTGGTCTTTTATGTATGAGTTTAGCAATATTGATTCAAGATTCGAGAGATGAGAATTGATATTTAGGCTTAGTTTCAATAGGCAGTTTAATTTATAAATGGTTAAGTCGAGATTCGAGCTAGAGATGATATTTAATACCGTAGATTAATTCTGTGATTGTAATATGTAGCGAAAGCCCTTTATGATCTGGTTAATTGATGTATTGATGATTGATTATTATGTTTTACCCTAGAATATTATTTATTGGTGAACCTATGCCCTAGGTTTTTTTATTCATTGATTTTCTTTATTCTTACTCTTCCCTACTTTTACTCTTCGTAGTTTAGTTTCCCTTCGATTATAATATTTTGATTACTTAATAATTTAGATTATAATAATTAATTAGGAATAGAAAGACTTGTTTCCCTGTGGATTCGACCCTACTTCCCTATCTACTTTAGTTAGAGGACTAAGGTAATACTTTTGATTAGGTGATACGACTTTAGCCTGTCAAAATTTGGCGCCATTGCCGGGGAAACTGTTTTATTTTTATTTCTGATTAATTTTTTAGTCTAGATTATTATTTTTTTATTTTTTTCGTCTCATAGAACGTAAGTTCTTTGGGACAAATTCTCATATTTATTTGTTTAGTACAGATCAAGAATAAGAGATGACTGCTCCACCACCACCTCCTCCTGTTCGCAAGCTTAGCGATTATTCGCAGCCATCCCTGACAAATTTTCCACATCTTGCTCCCACACCTAATCTCGATGGACTGAAATTCGAGATCAAGCCCTAGTTTATCATGATGATCGAAAGAAAGCAATTCAGTTGAGCTAAGGGTGAAGACCCTAATCTTCACATTGTAGATTTCTGTCAGTATTGCAATACTATTAGGCAAGTTGGGGTCACACAAGACCAAATCAGGGAGTTTCTTTTTCCCTTTTCTTTATGTGATAAAGCTAAATTGTGGTATAATGGATTGAATAGAACTTCACTTGGTATTACTGACTAGGAAACTCTTGCTTTGAATTTCTATAATAAATATTACCCTGTAGAGAGGACAGCTTTGTTAAGGAGTGCAATCCAAAATTTTGCCCAAGAAGCTAATGAAAGTTTATATGAAGCTTGGGAAAGATTTAAGGATTTGCAGAGAGAATGTCCCCATCATAAACTAGCAC